TATATGTATATGTATATGTATATGTATATGTATATGTATATGTATATGTATATGTATATGTATATGTATATGTATATATAATTCAAATTCCTTTTTGTCCTTCCTCCTCTTTCTCCTACTATTTTTGGGATTGTGGCTCTTGACATGCCACTGAACAGCTGTTTTTAGTTGCCTTCCCAGGGAAAATTACATACCCTTATTATAGGAACCAAAATTTGGATGGATTTACTCAGTTTCTGATTTGTGATTATTAGTTCCGACTGATTAGAAGTGATGGGCTGGGAAATGGAGATACATTTTCTGTAGTTGCAGGAAATACTTCAAAGTATATTAGGAATGCTAATTACATTATCACCCAACTCATCCAAAATCTGGCAGTTGAGCTATATTTCTTGTATAGTTTGCACCATGATGCAATGATTCACGTTACAATTGATTGATTGCATTTGTATCCCACGGCAATGTAACAACTCTTGGTGGCCTATATCGCATAATTTAGATGAATGTATAAAACATTTATGCTATGGTTAAAATAATTGATTAAATAACAGTCATAACACCCTTGAAACGAGTATACAATTTAGCTACTGTATATTAAAATAGAATAACAGATGGTGTAGAGCATGAACTTAAGAAAATGCTCTCTGAAATAGTTACATTTATTACAGACAAATCTGATATTAATCATCAGCATCTGGAGGCCAAGGACACCCCCAGTGCAGTTAACCTGGCTTGCCGGTTGGAGAAACCAGATTGACACTGATACCACATTGGAAGTGTCTCTACTTCTGAAATGCTCTACAGATAGTCCCTGATTTATGATCATAATTGAACCCAGAATTATAGTTGTAAGTCATGGTGTTCATTAAATGGGCCACCATATGACTCTGCCCATTTTTATAACCCTATATGTAAATAGTTGTTAAGTGAATGCCAGAGTTGTTAAGTCAACCCATTTTTTTTCTGTGAGTGTTTTTTGCTGGAAACTGGAAGTAAATGCTGGAAACTTGAGAAAAATTGAGGTCTTGTGACTGCAGAATGCTGCAAATGGTTGTAAATACAAACTGGTTGTGAAGCACTCAAAATGTGATCATGTGACCATGCAGGAGGGGATGCAGCTGTTGAAACTCTGGAACTCAGTCATACATAGCTCTTGGGGGGCCTATCGTAACATTGAATGGTTGCTAAGCAATTGGTCATTAAGCAAGGTTTATGTGTATAGGATGCTTTCTGTCATATTTCCATTGATTTCACTATCAGTCTAAAACTCAGGCCAATTATTGGAGTATCAGCTTAGCCTCACCTTGCAACCAATCCCATTTGTGTACAGATATTACACACCCTTTCTACCATCAAGTGTAGAAAATTAGGAGTCCGTGCAATTCAAATGAATGTATAGGTTTATTGTAAGCTAAAGCTCCCTACGTGAACCTGAACGACTAATGATCAAAGCAAACTGGTGACAGATAAGTGTCAACAGGATTCCAGGTAGGCTGGACTTTGATCTCTTGTGGATGCGTAGGGACTCGAGGCTGATGATGCATTTGACCCCTTCCTTGGGCTCAGCCTGGTTATCTCCTCTACCATGGTGCAAAAACTCAGGGCCTTCAGGGACTTTGCCACTTATACCTGAGCAGTTGGGGCGTCAACCCTGACTTGCTTCTCACCTTAAATTGAACTTATTAGTCACCTACCTCCTCTCACATTTGAGGCCATTCGTTTGAATCATTGCCAGATAGACTGAGCATTTCATGGGGTGTATGTGAAATCTTAATACTGCTCAGATACTCAAACTCCATTGATTTAATCTCTTGTCTAGGTAGGTTGGTGCCAGGGATCTTCACCCTGGACCCTCCTCACTCTCTTTCAGTGGTGGTCCTTCTAGACCAAGTTCCAAATCTTGCCAACAATTGATGCTGCCAAATTGCAGCCTGAAGCAAAAGAAAGGTCCACACTAAAATAAAACCAGATTACCACTACCTCTGAATTATTGCATTTGACAATTGCTGAATAAAATGAGTCTTAAGGAGGTGTGCTCCAACGTTTCTTCCCCCTTCCTTTTATAACTTCATCTATATTCAGATTAAAACTGAAATTGAGGCACAGGCACAGAGAATCAAGGCGAGGGAAAAAAGAATATCTGCATAATGTGTGGCCATTTTCAAAACCATTTATGTACATGGAACCTCATGAATGCTTGTAGATGTAATAGTCTGTCAGATGGCTTGATTAAAGGAGCCAAGCTTGGACTTACTCAGCTTTTCTTCAATAAGGGGAAATTAACTTCTCTAAGCCTAGTTCAAGTTGTTAATAACTTGAGTAGGTAAGTTTCAGCAATATTTCCTCACTCTGGCATATAGGTGAAGGTGCTGCTTGATGACATCCTGGAGAAATTGACAGATGAGTTTAACATTCCTGAGCTGATGGCCAAAGTAGAAGAGAGAACACCATACATTGTGGTTGCCTTCCAAGAATGCGAACGCATGAACTTTCTCACTTGTGAGATTAAGCGGTCACTGAGAGAGCTGGACCTGGGACTGAAGGTACAGACACCCCTTCACTTTTTGTACAATTTTGAACACAATTTAGAGATGACAGGAAAACACTCAGTTTATGAGGGGTAGCTTCTTTCTTTTTTTCTTTCTTTCTTTCTTTCTTTCTTTCTTTCTTTCTTTCTTTCTTTCTTTCTTTCCTTCCTTCCTTCCTCCCTCCCTCCCTCCCTCCTTTCTTTCTTTCTTTCTTTCTTTCTTTCTTTCTTTCTTTCTTTCAATCCAGCTCACACAGCTATTGTGGGGAAAATAGGAAGAGAAAAATATTATGAATGCTCACTGCTTTGAGTTATTTATAAAAATAGTAAAGGTGGAATAAATATATAATAAATAAATGTACATAAAATAGCTAATAGTTTGCATTATCACCATTTTAAAAACCAAGCAAAAGCTAGAAAAATGCCAATTCACTCAAATAATGAGAAAAGCTTGACATATAGCAGAAGTATATAGACTATTCCACAAATAATCTCCCAGTTATTTTAGGAGTTTTTCAAGTTGTTAAACTAGTTGTTTTTCCATTTCTATTCTCTTTGTTTGCAACTAAAGGGTGAATTATTTTCACCCTGCAAGTCCTACCAAATGTGCTGTTTTCCCATGTTAAGTGCAGTTTGGCTGAAATTTGTCTGTCATACTCCTTTTTCTTATGTGTTTTAGGGTGAATTAACCATGACCAACGACATGGAAACCTTGCAGAATGCTATCTTCTTAGATATGGTGCCTGAATCATGGACCAGGAGAGCTTATCCTTCCATGTCTGGTTTAGGCACGTGGTTCACCGACCTTCTCAATCGCATCAGAGAGCTTGAAGCATGGATAGGAGACTTCGTGCTACCATCAGTGGTGTGGCTGGCAGGATTCTTTAACCCACAGTCTTTCTTGACAGCCATCATGCAGTCCATGGCCCGAAAAAATGAGTGGCCTCTGGATAAAATGACGCTGCAATGTGACGTGACTAAGAGAAACCGTGAAGAGTTCACCAGTCCTCCGCGGGAAGGTGCATATATTCACGGCTTGTTCATGGAGGGTGCACGCTGGGATATGCAGGTAAATGCAAAGATTTAAAGGTTGCTGCTACTTGATAAGTCACCAAAATGAGGGAAGGGGGCATTCCTTATTGTGAAACAAATGTTTCAGAATAATTAGACCAAGACTGTGGCTCACCATTAACTTAGATTTGCTACTTCTCTGGGGGAAATTCAAACTCACCTCCAGGAAGTATGCCATTTGTCACTAAAAGCCTGGGGTAAGAGCTCTGTCATGCATATTCATAGCCTTCTTCTACAAGTACAAAATTGGTATTTTCCTGGCATTCATCACATTGAGATACTGTAGATGGATCAAGTTAAAAACCATAATCATGAACTGGGAAGGTTGCATTAAAAACAAAGTGTGTGGAACATTTCAGGCACAAATCTTTAAAGCCAGGCAAGAGCTGATCATTGTTTCAAGTGGCAAATAAAGCTAATAGCAGAAGGTGGTGGTTTGTAACGTGGACGGGGAGGATAAACTTCAATGCCGTACCAATTCGTTTTACCTAGCTTTTGCTTTTAAATTTTTAAAAGGGTTTTCATTTCTGTGCTGCAGCTTGCATGTTCAGAGAGGAAGAAATCTGTGTCAAATAGCTAAACAAGAAGCAGAGACCTCAAAAGAATTCTTCTGTGCTTTTCCTTTGTGAGACACTTATGGCAGCTTGGAAAGAACTGTGCTCGATTGTTTTTTCTACTCTGAAGTCTCTTTGTAGTTCTCTGGCTAGATGAGTTGGGACCCAAATAACTGTCCAGGCCCATCAGCTTACATAGAAGTCTAGGCTTAAGGAGCCTATAAAGAAGGCAGGGGACATCTCCAGGGTGCAGGTCTAATTTGGATCTTTATTTGCCATTGTGGGTCCGACTCCTTTAGGAAGCTTAGATTCTCCATAGCTGTTTTCTCCACCCCATCTCTTCCGTGATCCTGAGCCCTTCCCTCTAATTTTCCCAATTGACAATTGGCATCAGTGGAGACTACTTCAATGTCCCAGTAGTACAGGAGGTATTTTTGAAAGCAGCCCAGGAGGCATTTTGGATTTTAAAAAGAAATTGCAGGGCTTGATGATTCTGCTTTCAATCATCCAGGCTGTGGATGAAAACTAGATTTAAGTATAATGGATGGAACCAAAGCAAGTATGCCGAAAATAATGGTGCAACAAAATAGTACTTAATATAAACTATTCTGGCATTGTTCTGCTGGTTGCGTTCTCAGTAAACTTTTATTTTTCCATCCTCTTCCCACCAGAGACCTTGAAAAACCTATTTCAAAATCCTATGATTTAAAGAGAAGGAGGCAAAATTACTGATCTCAGAATCTGCATTTCCACTGGCATTACACCTGCATTATATTGTGCATTACACCTCTTCTGTCTCCCACTCCACAACTCTTTATTTTTGGCAGGAAACACAGAAAACCCTTGCCAAAGGAACAGCTGGTGCTGGTAGCTTTGAAGCTGAAAAGCTTCTTGGCTCTTAGCCCATTTCTGAAGCATTCCAATCAATGCCTTTTATTCTTTAGCCTTGTCCATCTCAGAGTATCAGGTCAGAGCCATCTCATTGCTCGGTTCTTTGACCTTGCATGAGCCCTAGCAAGAGGAACCAAGAGTTCAGAGCTCAGAGGCTGGAGGACCTGTGGAGCTCTCCAAAAGGTGTAAGCATTAGCTGAAAAAGGCTAAGTCTGAGCAGGTAGAACAGTGAAGGGTGTCATTCATTTTCCTGCAAAAAGGACAAGGTACTTGAATAAATGGCAGATTAAGAGTGATGCTCTTGTCCAGCAATCAGAATAAGGTATTAAAGAACGTGGATGATGATTAGAAACTCAGAGGAGTAGCAAAAGCTGGGAAGAACACCAGACTTCTCTGAATCACATTTTTCAGACTGTTGTGATTCTTGAGAATCTTTTCATTAACATGACTACACTCCAAGCACTTTCTATCAGGCAGTTTCTGTTGAGCTGCATCTAGAGCAGTGGTTCCCAACCTTCTTTTGGCCATGGCCCACTTAAGAATCTCTAAAATCCTGATTCCCCCCCATCCCCCCCCCCCATATAATTCTTACTCTACTCAAAAAGTGAACTCTGCTCACGTGGAGGAAGCCTAAAAGGCCATTAACTTGGTTTAAACAAAGCTCAAATTTCCCCCATTAAAAATAAAATTGCCTACGTGTGGGGCATGGACCCCACGTTGGGAACCACTGATCTAGAGGCAGCTGTTCCAGTGGTGAAATTCAATTTTTTTTACTACCAGTTCTGTGGGCGTGGCTTGGTGGGCATGGCAGGGGAAGGATACTGCAAAATCTCCATTCCCACCCCACTCTGGGGCCAGCCAGAGGTGGTATTTGCTGGTTCTCTGAACTACTCAAAATTTCCGGTCAGAACCTGCTGAATTTCATCCCTGAGCTGTCCCTCTGTTTCTCCATCCCCCAAGACTTTCCTCTTCAAAGTCCACCTGGAAGATCAAGGACCTATAACTACTGTATTTGATTGTTTTTCTAGGATATCTTTCCCTTAATAATTGCCCTTCGAATGTTAATATCTGTCTATGGCAGGGGTTCCTAAAGTTTTGCCGTCACACCTTTAGTGCAATCTTAATGTACACACCTCTCCCCCCAATCCAAACACCAAAATCAACACAGATAAACAATGAAAACAATAAAATGAAATTTTGGGAAAGGTGGATTTTGTAATAATATAAAGGTTCTCCATAGCTCCCCTAGTGATGCATTAAAAATATTGAATAAAGCAAAAATATTTAAGTAATATTTATACCAGCTACTCATAATCGTCTGATTCTTGTTAATTTTAACAATAGAAATGTATACCAGCGACCTTAGTACTGATTATGCTGATCATTCTAACAAGCCTTTCAGAGTCAGGCAGTTAAAAATAAATATGTTGTAATTCTTTATTATTTGTATGTTTTTTGCCTAGATTGCCCTCTGTACATATTTTGTTCATATGTATCTTTTCTTTTATATCCTTAAATTGTACTACAAAACTGGCAAAGTGGTAGGACTTCTATGCCTGTGGGCTATTGGGAGTCAAAGGTATATAATATTGGAAAACATAGAGTATTTTAAAAATTAAGCATTTATGATTGTGATGTAGGCTGAAAGTGAGTATTAGGCTCCAGGTGCCATGATGTTGTCAAATTTGAGGTAGTATGTAGGCAAATTTGAGGTAAATGTAGTATTTATCCAGGGTAATAAGGTATATCGGCTGAAGATTAGTACCTATTAAGTGCGATTTGATGTATCATCAAATGACAGAATGGGAAGGGGCTATTTAGCCCCCTCAGTTCAACCCCTTTTGGAAAGAGGAAAACAAAATATACAAGCAATTTGCTGAATATCAGAAAAGTATACAGTAAAAACTGTTTTATACTGGCTTGCACATGGCCCTATGTATCCCAGTATTATGTACCTTTTTATTTCTGTGGCTTTTTTCCATTACTTCTTTTTTAAAAAGAAAATCTTTATGTTCTTAAAAATGGTAATCCAAGTTAACAAATATTGCATTATAATATTTATGTGACCATATGTCCTCCTTCACAGGTGCGTGGACTGATATGTAGTTTGAGAACTATTTAGAACTGTAGAACAGTAATAATATTTTATAGGTATGGCAAAACACAGCAGAGTGTGCACTGTATTTCAGCAGATGGGGAAAATTAATTTGAGACTGGCAAACGATAATGAAATTAACTAAGGACAATAATCAGGTATTGCACTACATGAACTGGTATCTCTCTCTCTCTCTCCCTACCCCCCTCTCTCCTGCATGCTCCCTCCCTTTTTCTCCCCATCCTATTTTTCATTACTGGAAAGGAGTGGGTTAGTAATTCTAGCATTGGGATTAGCAAATATTCCTGATAGCAATATACAAGTGATAGAGAAAAAGTGAAGATAAGGAATTAAGAGTTATTCTTTATTCCTCCTTGTTAAGGAGAAGTGAGATCTTTAGAGAAATTAGGTGACACACGTACCTTTTTACAGAATGATGAATATTTGAAAATGTATAGAGATCAAACAGAGAATAAAAAAATGTTCTTTAATTCAGCATGGGATGATTACCTAACCAGAGATGATTCTGAGGCAATATAGGCAGGGACAAGGGCTATACTCATGGGCATAAAACACAAACTATGTTCAGGAGCAGAGGGTTGGACTAGATGGCCTCAAAGATCCCTTCTAACCCTGCTATTCCATGATTCTTCCTTCTTCTCCTTTCTCTCTCTCTCTCTTTCTCCTTTCCTTCCTCTCTCCCTTCATCTATCTATCTATCTATCTATCTATCTATCTATCTATCTATCTATCTATCTATCTATCTATCTATCTATCTATCTATCTATCTATCTAT